TTACTTTTTCAAATTTTTTCCAACATAACACTTTTATTTTTAGTACACAAACATAAGCAAATTGTTTAATTTAAACATAGTTATATTCTTTGGACCAACAAAAGCCAAAATTCATTTTTTTGAGTGTAGTGGCTAAATGGTATTAATTTGTACAATCTTATTCATGCATTTTAGTATTATTTGCTCATCACCCAATGATGGTTGGGCTTAGGGTTGGGGTTTGGTTTTGCCAAAGCTTCTTTTAAAAATAATACATTTTCAAATGACTAAACTCATATGACTTAGCTACTACACTTACAAAATGTAAAATAGTTAATTTCCTCATAAGATCAGACTGAAAATACAGACTTGTAAATTAAGTTTAAAATTGGGGTTTTGGCAACACCTTCTTTTAAAAATTATGCATTTTCATATAACTGAACTCAAACAAATTAGACACTAAATTGACAAAATAAATTTAAATTTGTAACTTTTAGACTGTAGCTGATTGGTATGGATTTGTATGATCTCATTCATATATTTTAGTACGATTTACTCATCCATAAATGATGGTGGGGTTTGGTTTTGGCCACGCCTCCTTTTAAAATTTTTTGCATTTTAAAATAAATAAATTGCACAAATTGGCCTCTAAATTGACAAGATGTAAACTAGTTTCTCGTGAGATCAGAATGAAAGTACAGACTTGTGAATTGTTAAGTTTAGGGGAGGGATTTGGTTTTGACCACGCCTCCTTTTAAAAGCGTAATTTTTTTTATAACTGAACTTGTACGAATTATCCACTAAATTGACGTAATAATTGTAATTCGTAACTATTTGATTTAGTTGCTAATTTGTATAAATTTGTACAATCTCATTCATACATTTTAGTATGATTTACTCATCCACCAATGACGGTTGGGTTCAGGGGTGGGGTTTTGTTTTGGCCATGCCTCTTTTTAAAAAAACGTACCTTTTCGTACTACTGAATTCATACAAATTAGCTACTAACTTGCAAAACGTAATATAGTTACGTTTCCTCGTGAGATCAGGCTGAAAATACTGACTTACTGAAATCCCAGCACACACACTTTCTAACGGCTGCAGGAACTAAAAATATAAACGACTGTAATTTGGCCTGATCCTCATACATACAGTAATAACATACATTATATAAACACCCGACTGTGACTGTAATAGCATGAGAAGGCTTTTCAGGATGAAATCTACACGTAAACATATATGAGAGTCATTTATCATGTGATAACAGGGGGAAAGTGAGGAATATATTCAGTAAACAGCTCTCCAGAGGATTTTAATCACGAATTCCCTGAAAACTCTTACAGTATGAATATCATACTCGTAACTTATTTACAAGAAGGCCAAGAGTTTTTGAAGTATACAGTCTAAAAGAAAATAACCGAGGATAAAAGGACGGTACAGTAAGTGAAGTGTTGCCAAAAGAATATACAGTAATTAATCTAAATAGCTGTCATAAAAATGATCAAATGCTCAACAGATCAGTATTTGTTCTTCATTTAGCTTCTTTATATTACTGAAAACAATGAAATCACTTTTCATTTGTTGAATGCAAAGCTGTAGCAATATTTTAAGTGTATATCTTGTAAAATTTGGGTATTTTGCTGTATTTCATATGGGTTTATCTTTAATATTAATGCCAGTTTACACTTCCACACATCAGTCTACACACAAATGAAGCTTCAAATCGTGTGTCCTGTTAAATGGGGCTGCATGTAAGAATATATTAAAGCTCTGTTTACTGCCAATGTGTGAACAGCTTGTAACGCAACATAAAGAGTTTGTCTGTGAAAGCCCTTTGAGATGAATTTGGGTTATTTTTCGCAAGAAAAAAAAAAAGTACTTCAATGCTTCAATGAAAATGAATTACATGAGTATAAAGCCCTGGATGATGCTAAAATAACACTGTACTATAATGCTGTAGAAAATGGATTAATTTAAATTGTAGTCTCACTGTAACCTAATGTTTAGTGTCTATAGTCTCAAATACACTTTATAATACAGATTTTATTACAAATTGATTTTAATGAGCTCGTCTGTCAGCATGATGCTGGTCAATTCATTCATAAATATCCATTGTCCTATGATCAACCCAGGCTCATTCTGAAAACATAGTCCTGTGGACGTTTCTAACGACCGCGAAATATGTCCTGGAGGTAAGTATGGCTGCGTTGAATTTTTTTGCGGTATGACGCTGTTCCCTTTTGCGCTTACCGGCTGACCGATTACCTCCCTGTGGAGGGCTTTCCCGCTGCAACCAGTTTGTCCAGTCAGCTCATCGTGTACATCGGCAGACTTCAGATGCAGAGAGCAGGAGTTGACCACGGTGTTCGAGTCCAGGGAAGCGCGGTTCCAGTAATACAAAAACAGAATCCAAAAAATAAAGTTCATAACAGGGTGAGAATGTGGTGAAATCCGAAAACGTGGTGAAAAATCAGACGAGGGCTTTACTTTTTCTGGACTGCTTTTCTAAATTGTTGGTCGGGTTTAGGGAAGTGAGCGGGTGGGCGGGTCAATCAGTAAAATTGGTTGGGTTTAGGGAAGGAGGAGGGTGGGTCAGCCGATTGGCCGGTCACACAGTCAATCATTCAGTCAGTCAGACAGCGGCCTCTGGTGGGTTTACGCGAGAACGGAACGGCACTCACGAGAGACATTTGAGATACGAAACAGCACACACAGCGGCCTCTTGCGGATTCGCGAAAACAAAAACTGCAAAACTACGTACCTCCCGGGATGTATTTTACGGTCTCCAGAAACGTCCACGGGACTACGTTTTCAGAATGAGCCTGGGTTGCCTATGATTATCCGATTTCCTAACAACTTTCCTATTTTGTTGGTGTTGTTAGTAAGAGGAAAGTGTGCAGTACATATTTAGAAAAAAAGTATCTGGATGTTCATTCTCTGCAATTTGCTAAAATTAGTTAGTTTTTTATTTATTTACTTCAATTAATTTTTTTAAAAATAACTCTGAATGGGTTTTAAAATATCGTCGATATATCATTCGAAATAATATAGTCTACTCGCCACAGTGTCTTGAATGATGGCTGCAGTTCACTAAACATCCACCGGTGTCACTAATAACAAGGCTTTCATTCAACAGTTCAACATACAGTTCCTGTAATGCAGCGTTTCCCAACCCTGTTTTGTTACAAATTTTGAATGTATCCCTCCTCTGAAACATTCTTACAAAAACAGCCCCCAACATTACCGAAGGGTAGTCAATATGAACAGTACTCAAAGGTAAGAGGTCATATTTTGGAATCTCAATAAAACTGGAACCACTCAAAATAGCTTAGCAACTCCAAAACCATACCAGCTCAAATCAAGGTATTGACTAATATACAAAGCGACCAGTCAGCTGTGATGTATTGAAATGGTTAAGGCAGCCCAAACATTAGCCTGAAAACGAAAAGCTCACACTTATACGCTAAACATTATGAACAAAATAAAATCTGTCGACATTTCACCAGTGGCGAAATTACTTCATTATCACGGCAAGTAAAGCAACCGTATGAACAGTGGCGTAGCGGACGGGCCCGCAGGGCACGCACCGCAGGGGGGCCACGCGTGATTAGGGGGCCCGCACGTCGTCGCGATTTTCAATAATTGAAAATCCAGGAACCGCAATAATCAAACTCTTGGGAACAACTGTGGTCGGAACCAAAGTTCACAGGTCTGTGTTCTCTGAACTCCTCTCAAGCGGTGGACTACTTCATTCTGATTGCTTGCCGCCGAACTGCGTCATAGCCAATAAGACGCGCCGCTGTTTCTCGCCGCCGGTTCTCGTTAAAAAATGAATGACTTCTGGCTACTTTGACGCTCTCGCCGCTTTCGGTTTGTGATCGCTCCTCAGTTTGTGAAGGATTCCCAGCGTTGTCGCTCCACCCAGCCTCCTTTCCCCGCTCCTCAATTTGTGACATAGATATATGTCATAGACATCATAGATATCGCATAGGGACCCTGAGCATGCGTCAATAGCGCCGCCACATTGGTACAGTGCTCCCAAGACAAATGTCATTCAACCGCACTAGACAAGACAGTATTATTACGTGAAGATGCGGGACTTTAGCGCTGTCTACGGGTGTAGTAACAAGCAAACAAAGAAAACAAAGCACAAAGGCAGAACATTACATAGGTAAGGTTAAGTTTTTTACGTTTTTGTATGTTCTGAAATTTGTGCTAAACATGTAGCGTTATTGATGATAACAGTCACTTACTGCATTCACCATACGGCAAAGCAGCACCAACTCGCACTAAACACTCGGCTTATGCTAGTTTTGTTGAATAAAATCAGCAAACAATGCAAAAGAAATATGATAACAAGATGCTGCGCTGCCAGAAACTTGTATTATTGTCGGCTAGTGAACGAGTCGTTCATAACGGAGATTCATTCACAAACGAATCGTTCCCTCCGTCAGTATGAAAAGTGAAAGCAGGAGAGGAGCTGTGCTTCAGGACATGATTAGATTAAATTTAACAGGGAGGGTGAATAGTACATTTCTGTACACACAAACACAAGCTTTGTGTAAGGAATGCCCGTGCGGTCACTGATCCATCAATGTAGAAAAGTGATGTAAAATGATAATTTTCATAATTAAAAAAAAAAAATGCATACTAACATCCAGGAAAACTCCCGATCATAGATATATGTGTATATGTGTATATCTCTGGCTCTGCCCCCCCAACCCCACCCTCACCCCACCCCCCGCCTTCAACTGGGGGCCCCGTTGGTGATCTGGAGTGGGGCCTCTGCATTTTGCGCTACGCCACTGCGTATGAATCTCTAGAGGGAATCACCTTTTTTATCGTCAATACAGCGTGGCAAGATTTGGCAACAACCGAGACGCAAATGCTCAAGGCTTAAACATCACATTTTCTACTGTTAAATAAAACACTGCTAGAATAGTACAAAGATGGCCTCTACTGGCATCTGTTTGGACTAGTGTAAATACAACGACATTAGTGCTGATCAAAAATATTACGTATTTAAAAATAACACGAGTGTCTTCTTTATGTACAATTCACGGTCCCACAATGCTTTATATGACGTGATCCTGATGCAAACTCACCGTTCTTCATGTATGGAGGTGATATGACGACCTGAAAGCACTGCAGTTGCTTGTCTACAGTGCGAATATCTAATATTTAAAAAAATCCAAAGCAAAGTCTGTTCTCCTTTACCAAATGCTGCTGGTGAAGATGCTGCAGTAGCTTCCAGACTCGTGGCTCATTTCTCCGGTCTTTCTCTGTGTCTCCAACAACAGCAATTGTAAGGAAATCCTGAGAAGCGAAGGACTCTTGAATCCTTCAATATATCTAGCATTTGTCCGTCAGTAAAGTCACATGACGGTTTCTCTTTCCTCCTCCACCACCTGGATGGTTTTCTCCATCTGGAAGGTCTTCGAAGGCTCTTCCTCCTGAATGTGAAGCTCGTGACCCGAGGACGGGATGGAGTTTTCTGAAACGGAGCCGTTTTTTATGTATCCCGGAAGGTTCCTGTGGCCGTTAGTGGTGACGTGCCCCAGTCGGTTGGTGAGGTGAAGGGCCAGCGGCCCCCGCGCCGTCACATTGGTAACACTGGTGTGAGAAACCATGGGTCCATAGCTGTATGTGTTACTGCCGCTCCTGGCTTTTCTCTTGAAGTCCAGAGCAAGAGTCCTTCTGTTCCAGGCCTTCTTGATTTCCGCTTGGACCTAAAGAGTGTGAAAGATATGTGTGAATCAAACTGTTTTTTTTTTAAATCTGCATGCACTAAAGAAATGATTCCATAAGATTTACTCCATTTTTTCAGGTAAGTCGCTGCAAGCAATTCATATGGGCTGAATTTAAACATACAAGTTAAGTTGAACATTACTAAATTTAATTTGTTCAAATTCATATAAACATTTTGCAACAATTTTGAAAGAGATTTCATGCATGCTTATGATGCTTATCATTTGCTCGGTTATTTTAAATGCATCGGTGATCATTTCTGAGATGTCTTCATGAGCACTTGACAGAATCAAATCTTATCAATGTCTTTGTCATGTCAACTTGACATTACCAAGAGCACATGTCATAAAACTGTCATAAACATGTGTCTAGAGCAACCCAGATGAGGATTCTTCACGTGAACACAGCTGCTGCGCTCGTGCATCCAGGTTAATCATGAACAACTCATATGCATCAAATACATAACATCTGTGACAAACACTGACGAACATATTAACAATAATACAACCGTATAGCCAAATTAAATGTATGCATTGGCATGTTACAGCCCTAACGAGTATGATTATGTGAAACTCCATATAGATACATATTGCAATGATTTCGGGTACTTACTCAGCGATGCACGCACACATATATGCACAATCCTTAAATGCTCTGCTGATGTGGACTCTATAATACCTGTTTTATTACTTCAAACTATCAACAACCACCACTGAGCTATATTCTAGCGATCGTTCTTCCCGCTCCGTGGTGGATTTTGGCATAGTCAATTTCATGATAGATGGCGGGGGTGAGTGGAAGAAACCAAGTCGCGGGGGTAATATTTTCTACAGAAATAATTTATGATTTCTTATGTGGCCAGTACCGGTGGTTGGGGACCACTGACACAATGCATCATATAACTGCATTATATATTAATATGTAATGTATGTATGTAATGTAATGTGTATTTATATAGTGCATTTATTGTGTATGACCATATACCCGAAGCGCTTTACAATCTTAAGGGAGGTGGGGGGTAGTCTCTCCACACCACCACCAGTGTAGAATAATATCTAATATCTCTTGTAGAAATAAATTATGAACAGCAGCTACGCTAATTGTTTTCTGAACATGAATATGAAAAAGATTTCATGCATGCTTATGTCAACTTCTTTAAGTGTCATTCACTCAGTTACACCATTTTAAATGCAATGGTGATTGTTTTTTTAGATGTCTTTATGCCCACTTGCTAAAACCAAGGTGGCAAATCCTGTCAATGCCTTTATCGTGTCAACCTAACATTACCAAGACCACATTACATGTCATAAATCTGCCATAAACATGTGTCAAGAATTACCCAGAATAACAAAGTCCACTAAAGGAGGTCGAGTAATTTCATATATGGCTCCTAAACTCTGCAAAAGCATTCCTGATAATGTCCGAAACACTTTCTCAGTTTAAAACCAGATCAAAAACATATTTTTTTAGTTAAGAATATCCACAACGCATCATATAATGGTACATACAGTTAAATTCGACTTTTCAAATGCATTCTTTCACATTACATTAATATCTCTTGTGCAAATAAATGATGAACAGCAGCTACGCTAATTGTTTTTTTTTTCTTCTATCCTTTAGATTGTGCAGTGCTACTCGATCAGAGATGATGCCAACCCTACAATGACTTGAAATGATCAACAAACGCTCAATACTCAATGCATTGAACATGTATTGTTGTTATATGTACATAATAATAATTTGTTTTGGAAGGACACTATATAAAATTTGTTTGTAAGAACACTATATGCTGTAAATCTGCATGTAGGATATGTTCATATACTGCTAACCCTTTACATAACTCCTTAACTTCTATGATGTTGATTGTAATGTAATGACGTGCACCTTTAGCGAATTATTAGCCCCCCTTTAAATTTGTTTCTTTTTTAAATATTTCCCAAATGATGTTTAACAGATTCAGGAAATTTTCACAGTCTCTCATAATATTTTTTCTTCTGGAGAAAGTCTTATTTGTTTTATTTCGGCTAGAATAAAAGCAGTTTTTAATGTTTTAAACACCATTTTAAGGACAAAATTATTAGCCCCTTTAAGCTAACTTTTTTTTTGATAATCTACAAAACAAATAATCGTTATACAATAACTTGCCTAATTACCCTAACCTGCCTAGTTAACTTAATTAACCTAATTAAGCTTTTTAAATGTCATTTTAAGCTGTATAGAAGTGTCTTGAAGAATATCTAGTCTAATATTATGTGCTGTCATCATGGCAAAGATAAAATAAATCAGTTATTAGAGATGAGTTATTATAACTATTATGTTTAGAAATGTGTTGAAAAAATTGATCTCTGCGTTAAATAGAAATTGGGAAAAAAATAAATAAATAATATATATATATATATATATATATATATATATATATATATATATATATAAATAAATATTGCCATATTACCATATATATATAAACTATTTGCTGTATATTGTAATATGGCGGTAAAACTTCTGTATGCCTCTGGTCCTGGATTATGATTGGTTGAGCCTCTTCTTGGTGTTGAAAGATGACTGCAGTAACACACACCTGTGACCTCATTGCATCAGTGTTTACTGCACCACTGTGTCTCTGTGCTGCACGGCAACCATTCAGATTTCTCAATTATACTGGAGTAAAAATAATTCATTTAAATTTCCGGTAACACTTCTGGGCTTTATTTATCTACACTATAAATACAAAAATATATTATAATATGCTCTGCATGTTAAAAAAAAAAATTATTTTCGGCATACTTCATACTTTTAATAAGTAGGGTATTTTACCTGTGTTAATGGTAATCTATACAACCCTGTACTGAAGCACTCAAAATCATAATCCCATTTATACACCCCAGAAGAATAGGATGGCCCCTCAGCTGCAGTTACAGGACCACAGCTGTAGGAGTCTTTTTGTTCAGTAAATATGCTTTAATGCTTTAATTTTAGATTTCTTAGTAAGAAAGACCTTATTTTTCAATGCAATCAAGCTATTTTCTATGAATAAGTGCTGAGTTCTATGGTGATTTTTATTCACACACACATGCACTCAAAAATACACACAAATGTGCAGTTTTCTTTGTAGTCCCAACCATAAATTCATTTCTTTTTACACTGATTTTGTTTATTTCAGATAACCTCACAGAAACCTGGCATTTTTAGATGAACATCCTTACATTTTTAATTAACTTGTGTGATTAAGACACACACACAAACACACACACATCAAACGCTTTCTTAAAATTAATCAAATATTCATAATTAGAAGTAAACAGGAGGGATCATTTAAATTATTTTCTTTGAATACAATTTGAAGCCAATAAACATGTCTTCTTACAAGTAGAGATAGCAATTTAAGAGTGTCAAATAGTTCATAATACTTTTTAGGTCCACCAGATCATAGTTTGATGGATTATGATTTAGTCAGTGAGCAAAACTATAAGCAAAGCAATTTCGAGGTATGAAAATAATTAGTTTGGTTTGAATGGGAGTTTGGAATGAAGCTAAACACTTATACTGTTGGTTTAGATTTGAGTCTGGTACCAAATAAACATGACTTCATTAATGTAGTATCTGATATCCAGTCTTTTAACGCAGTATGTTACACACAGACTGAGATTAGATGCCTGTTGAAGAAGATCAGATGAAGATTCAAGATGTTACACACTGTATAATGTCATAAACATAATGGTTATTTACATAAATAGAACAAAATGAGTGGTCCCAGTGCTGAACCTTGGGGAACAACATTAAAAACACATTAATGTCCAGTATTCTAATACAGTATTTCCTTTCTGTACTGCAGGTATGATATGCTAATAGTATAAAGTTTATGTAAAAGATGTTCAAGAAAATCATTCTTAACTTCAACTGCTAATTTATTTCAATAAAAAATAATTAATGATAATAAATCGAAAAGAACCGACAGAGGAACAAATGTTGAATAAATGCTTCAGCAGTCATCAAAGTGCTGTGAAATATTGCATTAGAAACTCTAATTTGATTAATTTATTGTGGCAGCAATTTAATCTCATTCCAGATGTGATTAGCATTCTTAAAACAAGACAGTGTGGACAAAAAAAAATAAATAAAAAAATACAGGGATTAGCCTTGCCTGTATTTTTCACAGTCAGCATTACACCTTGACAAAATGCTGACCGTGCTTTGTCTAAAAAGAGTAATAAGATCAGGGGTGATCCACAGGAGAGGCTTCACCTCGACCCCAACTACGGTATATTTCAAAGAA